GGACCGTCGAGGCTGTTCGATTCTACCCCCCTTTGGCATCACCGTTACGGCAAGAATGCACCCTATGATGATCATACCCGCGGACGGTATACCTCCCAGCGTCTTAGTTCATACATGCATCCGACTCTTGTTTTCGCAGCTGTCAGAATATATCCCACCGCATTCAACCGAGCAGCCAGTGCGTTCCAGCCTCGAATCTGACTATCTATCTTGCATGATATTGTGGTTTTTTTGCGGCGAGCAGCTACTCAAGCACATCACCGTGTCACTGCTTCGAACACATGCATATGGCTTACTGCAATATCACTCCTTCATCCTGCATCCTCCCAAGACCCGTTTGCACTTGATCCAGATGCAGCCGGAGTTCTCCCTTTTGGCATCTCAAACTCGTCACCAATTCTGTCACAGAGGACTGCTTTGCTTCCACCGCTCTGCTCATTATCGATCTCTACTTGAGTTTCTCATACCTCAGGCCTGGCAACTGGTTTCAGTTCTCTCATTCGCGAATCCCCTTCCAAATCCATCATCATTGGAATCCTGCACGACACGAGTACCAGTACAATAGTCTCGGCGGGTCCTCAAGGCCTCACCACCCATGCTACTGAGCACTGCGTTCAAAGTATTATCATCGTGAGGTTTTGGAATGTTATCTATCATGGAATCCATAGTCCCTATATCTGGATCGCCGAGAGACCAAGCGAGGTTCACGCCGGTTCTTTTAACCAAAGCTCTCGTCCCAACTATCATATGTGCCAGGCGCTGTGTGAACGATTTTTGATCAGCTCATAATTATTCTCAAATGTCATGCATTATCTCCCTCGTGAATAAGAATTAGTACATGGTAATGAGGATGAAACAAACGGATCATCTAGCTGTAAAGCGACTGGGCCTGCTCCAAAGCCTCTCAATGCCCGCACACACATGTCTGTCCATAGTTTTAGCAATATTGTGACGAGTGTGCAGTTGCAGCCCAGCCCTTGGCCCTTGAAATCTCCCCGTCACCGCCTGCATTCCGATTCAATTGCCCATCTCGTGATACTGCCAATCTCCGTACCCAATTGCCATGCCCCTCCATCTTCTTCAATATAACACCTGTCTTTAAGTCCCACAGGCGAACCGTCTTGTCCTGTGAGCCTGTAACCATCCGTCGTTTATCAGGGAAAACTGCGACTGCCATTACGTGTCCTTCATGGCCTTTGAACTCTTGTAGGGGTGTCACAGTGATTAGGATGAGCTCCGACATTTTACTGGAGGTAGATGGTGCAGTCGAAGTGGATGTTTGTAAAGTTTAATGTAACTCATGCGTTCACTGATGGCATCGAGCGCGTGCCACAAGGACAAAGGGACTGGCCCTGTGATAGGCCCACACGATTGTGTCGACCAATTAGACTTGTAGCCGTCATGCAACTGTAGGATGATGTAATTTAGGGTTCCGTGAAAAACTCCCGAGTCGTAATTAGAGATAATTATCTGAATCTTGTCTGAATCACGACTTTTTGTGAAAATTATAACATTTTTTCCTTGGGCGCTGACCATGACCAATATTGTCCGAGTCACTCGTCCCCTGCTCAATTCCATTGTTTCAAGTCAGCCTGCGACCGTATCTCTCGCGGACTACAGCACGACAACGAGTCCAGAGCGGCGGGCAGTTTATTTATTTACTGTGCCTGCTGTTTCTGCGCCGGATGAACTTAATAATTCCCTACTCGCTCCAGCAAGAGATTCTCTGAGGCTTGACATCATAGTACTGCTGTGTGCATACAATCGGGATATGGCCGTATTTTCTAACACAACAGCCAACTTCTCTGTTGAAAGCGTTGAATATCACTTCACCCTCAAGTCCTTCTGTTGCTTTTTCCAATCATGTATGATTGATTCTCTCCGATTTATCGCACAATCTCTCCGGCCCTCTCTTGCTCTTCGTCCTCTGGCGTCCACCCGGCCTGGTCACAGGTAATTTGACTATCAAGCCTGCGAGCTTGTAAATTGCTGTTTCCTCGACAATGCATAACATTCCCATGTAAAAGTACCCGGCAGTTGTATGTTGATTATTGCGATGCTCAACAACTTATGTATTGCTTTCAATACTAATCTCATCTGTTCACAGTTTCAAACGTTCACTAGTCTGATGGGCCACCCGCTCTTGCACCTCATCCAACACTCGCTCGATCAAGAGAATCACTCCCGAGCTCTCTGCGCTACTCGAACTCGAGCTTAGTGGACCACGAGCGAGAATAGGCACGATCTATCATTTTCAGATAAATTCAAACATCCACATTGCTCGAGCAATACGAAAATTTCTCCAAAAGCTGTACTAACTGATTCCCTAGGTATTACATCATCAACCATGATACAAAAGCGAGAGCAGAGACATGACTCACTGTCGCGACGTGCCCCTCTGGCTGCCGTCTTAATTTCCAACCGACTACTACTGGCACATCAAACCTTGACTCTAAGGCTCGCGGGTCAGTCATGTGGTTGAATCCTGGTCGCACAGCGACCTGCTCATACTCACGGCACAAGAATGACTGCAGCAATCCCAATCTGATTGGCAAGGTTGATCCGGGCCATTACATGCACTGACGAATGAAGCTGCTGTAAAAGCAACGACAACGGCGAGGAGGGAGAAACGCATTTTCTGTGCAAGGTGATATGGAATCTTCTGAGGGGGATCTTGGATGATATCTCTGAGGATGAGGGAACACTGTAGGACGATGGCCAGCTTTTATATCCTGCATTTACTTATGGGAACCATCCTGATAGATTTGGTAGCATCCTTATTGCTGTCAGATGGCACAAATTTCGGTAGAACTTGTAAGAACATATTCATTTGATTATTACGATCATAATCGGCTGGCAGGCATTGACAATTCTCTCCTTCGTAACTACAGAACCCTCGCTCGAATCACTGTTCTCTCATTCCCAATCTCTCACTCATCACTTCATCGTTTGAACCTGCAATGACCCTGCCAGAGTAACGACAAAGTTGAGAACTTTTGATGCTCATTCTCGTCGATACTTCCGATATGTACTCGGTCGATGTCTCATGTCATTTTTCTCATTTGCTCGTTGCTCCCTTGTATTCTATGCTCGCTCAATTTTTAATTTGCATACAGATCAGACGTCCATTCTGAGGCGCGCAGTTGAGTCATGTGGTTAGTGTTGTGGGCAGAACTGACGAGTTCTGCCAACCGGTTTGGCAGAACTTGGCAGAACCCAGGGTTGGCGGAGAACTAGTCCATAATAATATGTACACTGTGTACTAGTATAACTTTAAAAATGTCAAAACGTTCACGGTGGCCATCCAGTGCCATCCCTGATCAATGATAACTTTGAGCATCTTGACACAGTTGCCAACAGCTCGACCATTACTTCTGGGAATGCAAGTACTGTGGTCACATCGACAATTTTCCTGGTCCCAAAATCTAAGGTCGTGACAATAATCTATCTAGCCATATCATCTGAGTCTCACTGGTTTGCTGATATACTATGGGCACTATTCTGACCAATTTGGCAGGATTCTTATTGCTGCGGCCGTTAGTGGGATCGAGCTCTTATGTTTCATGATATGAGTTCTCCCGCATGAATTACTGATTTGCCAGTGTCTCTTGGCAGCAAGTACTCACTCTTCGCAATTCGAAAATCCAAATTGCTCCACTTATGCTATTTGCGTGCTACTAGTAGTGAAGAACAACTGTTCCATTCTGTGACCTGGCGTTCGCTATCTCATCTCTCCGTGTCTGCCGCAGACGTGACAGGGGTGTTGCACTGCAAGGTGCTATATCCATTCGAGATCATCTCCGCACGCCTGGTGATCAACTGCTGTACAAATGCATGTCTTCAAAATATTGGGTTTGGATTTATCAGTGACGAAACCTTCGAGCTATATTATGTCCACGAGTCGAGCAACCCCATATCCTCCATTTTTCCCAGGACATGCAACCAGTCGGCAGCGGAAAAAAGCACTACCTTCAATTTTCACTTTCGGTGGTAGAACAACGCCGTGTCCGAGTCTGAGATCTGATGACCGAATCTATCTCATCGACGCTCGTGTCCCGTGCCCGTCGACTAGTATTCACTCATTCCTCATACAAAGAGGTCTACTCCCTTGCATGACTCTCAAGTTGTTTTTAACCCCCTTGCTCTTTGGTTCTCGTGGTGCAACTATTTTTCATAACCAAGTTGTAAATTTGTCACAAGTTGTTATGTACTGCGTAGAATTGAATACTCGTGCTTGTTGTGGACAATATCAATGGTGAGCTCAAGTATTCGATATAAGTGCCATGTTGGTTTTGCATAAGCAACAATCTGCAAGGCAACTCCGGCATCGAGACCACGAAATGTTTCCACTCCTTCAAAGCCTTCAACTCGTACTACTCGACTTGCCAACTATAAAACGAGAAATTTACCGAATCAACGAGGCCAGACCCATACTCCTGGAAACTCGAACAAACAAGGTACAGACTCAGAGACAAGGTCGATCATCACCAACCACCCTCTTGATCATCAGATATACTATTATCCATACATCTATCTCCATGATAGACGAGTATAAAAGATGCGCACTTGAGATAAACGCGCAGCCCAAGTGCATGCGGCGCATAGAGTACATCGATAACCGGCACCGAGTGCCATTATCACAAGCTTGGGACAACGTAAGGTGCTGTAAGGAGCGTGTGTGTAGGCACAGGAGCCATGTTATCGCGGTCACGTGAACCTCAGCTTAGTCCATTTCAATTCTAGTACATCCGGATAACTTCAAGCTTCAAGTTGTTAACTCACACTTTATCGAGTTTGAGACAATAGCAGCTACCTCAGCAGGTGATTGTCAAAACTTCTTGGCTGTGTAGAACACAGCATGGTCCCCCAATGAGAGTTGGGTCTGCGTTGAAGGCAGACGCCAAACGCGGTTCGGTAAGCTCTGCGTTAATGCCATGCGGGTATTGTAGATATCACTGGCGTAGCATCGTCCGATTTTCTTTCGTGTCCGTGCTTTCTTTGTCCTCACCAGAGGCATGTTACTAAATCTTAATCGTAAATGGTCCGGACCTTGAAGCTTCCGACACAGTACTAGTCTGAATCCTAACTTGCTGTAGCGAGCGTGACTCGCCAGTCTCTTCGGTAAGACTCTTGGTCTTGCTTCATCCATCGTATAGCTAGCTTTCCACCCGTAATGCATTGTACATCGAGCTTGGATAACTTGGTCGACGATATCGTCATACAGATCTTCCAGACATTGTCTGTGCGAGAAATATTGACGCTGAGACGGGTAAGTCCATCATACCTGTTTTGAAATGCGAACTCACGCACATTCCACCTTTCTCAGACCTCCAAACGATATTATTCCCTGTCTAAATTTCGCAGCGTTTGGTATGCGGCATTCTGCACTGAAGTATTGGCCCGCCATCTTCCGCCCCCTGGCCCTTCGTGCTCTCTCCGTGCTTTGAATTCTGCAGATCTAGAGCATCGCACGTTATTGGCTCTTTCCCTCGAGAAACGTTGGTCACGGGCCACTCCCAATGTTATTGTCTCGAGCAGACAACGAGAGACCGTAGACCAGATCCTGCTTATCCCTGGTGGAACACAAATTTTGACCGTCCATGGAAATAAAGTGATATATTGGCTCATCTCTGGGCAGACAGGGGCCACATACAAGCTTCAAAAGGTTGAAGAGTGGTTGTCACCAAGTGATGATGCTTGTATAGTCGTGAAGGACACTGAGGGCCAGGGAATCATTGCCATCGGTTGCAGAGACCAGTTAGTCCCTCGTCTTTCCGACACAAAAGCGAAAGGGTCGCTGACAGTGGATAGACCAAATAAGCATGCCACTATATTCTCTCTCGCATTGAAGCCTGCCCTCAGCAAACTATGTGACTACTCCCTCATCCCTGGCACCGTCGCAGGGATATCGCGGCACCTCCTTTTTTTAGATACTACGTCAGATCAAGACGGTGGCGGTCTTGAGCTCCTAGATTGGCATGCTCAAACGGAAGGCACTGCCCTGCTCCCGTGTATACCCGATCTGGTAAGCCAAGTGCGACTGTAAATAACAGACACGTGTGATTTTGTCGTAGTTTGGTTCATTTCTAGGCTTCGTTCATTTCTCCGACCATATTCTTGTAGCATGGGAGACATGCATTAGCGTATTCCCGGTGCCTGACATACCAGCCCAGGGACGGATGGTGGTTGCCCATACCAAAGTATTCATATTTTCTGAGCCCGTCAGCTCTCCTATCGCCTTCACAACTTGTGTCCCTCGAGGTTGGACCGGCATAGATGCGCCGGCGTACCCGCCATCCCAGGAGATGCCTTCCCTCACAATCGTTGCGCGTCCCAAGAGCAAGTTGGGCAGGATTGCTATGTCGATGCTTATTCCGCTAAGCAACGATAACGGTGCAAAGTATCCGTCCAGTTTTCCATATCAGCTTCTCCGACTACCTCCATTTGTTCCCGACGTACCGGGAGATACAGGCAGTGGCGTAGGGGACCAGGAGTGCGCGCAGATATGCATGGGATCGTCTGGGCGCGGGCTGTGCGTCTTTGGGCGCGAGGTCCGACTGTGCGAGCCAAGTCTGCTGTATATTCCCCCTCGTGAGATGCAGTTCGGCCCTGCCTTCGAGACGGGCAAGGCCATATATAAGATTGAACCTGGTGGAGACAGGGTAGATTTCGACGAGGGAATGGGACGGTTAGTAGTTGCGAAGGGAAGCGGGGGCTTTGACGTGGTCCAACTATTGTAGCCGATCGTGCGACGTGCAGGATCCCTCGTACGCGTGATGTATGGGCTATTCATCGCCACCACAACGAATTTCATGCGGAAAACCAAATTTGGAAGGTCCTCAAGTTTGCGAATAAGGCAAAGGCACTTCAGGGGGATGGGGTATCACATTGTTCTACCGAATTTGAGGATGAGAAGAACAGAACTCGCTAAAAATTCTCAGCACAGGAACACACTGCATGCAAAGTTCTCATTTCCAGGAGTATTCTCACAATACAGCAAGTTGTGTTGCTGCTTCTCATATGAGATCTAGATATGTCATGTGCATGTAGTGAAACTGTGCCAAAAATGTGACGAAGAGTATTCGGATCATCAATGAGTGACAACGGTGGTACAAAGAATCCGTGAGCGCAGTAGTACATAGAACCAATAATTAATTTACAGTCTCGATTTAAATCTTGACTACCCGACGGTGGCAAATGCTGTAATATCGAGAGCCATAGTACTAGCATGCATACTACCCTGGATGACCTTCCGTGGCGGCTGGAAATATAATTGGAATAAATATTATTAGTTGCCGCCATATCGGTCTTAAATTTGCAGCATATTTTGTACTTGTGAGCCATTTTCGCCCTCTATTAGTATTTTGACCGCAATAAGCGATCTTCCTTCCATTTTTAGCTACTAACCGCTACATACTGATCTCTTTCAGCTGCAAAAGAGCTCGCAACCTTCTATCTAACTTCTTGTTCCTGCCACTAGCTTCCCCTACGATTAGAGGTTGACCCTGCACATCAGAAAACTCATATTATGGATATATTGAACCTCATTTGAAACTGTTGCACAGGCTAACTTCACGGTTCCCATATTGTCGAACATACAGAGTCCAGACCACATGCATGCGCCGCGTTGTTGTTCACAAGACAATGCAACTATAATTCTCGAATCAGCCTGCAGTCGAGTATCGTCATATAGAATAAAAAACGCACTCGATTTCGCATGGTTTTAAAAGTCCGAAATACTATTTTTGCCTATGGAAAACCATCGTGACAAGTCTCGATAAAACGTCCGAGGTAATCTCGCATCGCAAAGACTGCACTAGATTCGAATCGTTCAAGAGCCAAGATCCGTGGCGAAAACGACATTGTCGGGATTCGCCGACAAGGCCCTCGAAGCCTTCTGAGACCTGTAACGTATTAAGGAAAGTGCGCAGGCATCGAAATATGTCTCAGGGACAGTGGCAAGAAGGAAATCTATGTTACCTCACAGGGCTGGTGCAAAGCATGTGGGAGTCGATATAGTGCCTCATAGCCTTATCGTCGACAGTAACCACATGTTATCTGGGAGTCCATACAAGAAGTTACGTGTGCTGTGCCACAAAAACAAGATTAAGTTGTGATAGTCTGTCACACACACCGAGAAAGGTTGGAACATACCGAAAGAAATGAGCAATTATTTCTCATGGCCGGAAGAATAATTTTGAAGGTCTGGACTCGCTCAGGCCTGCCGCAATGGCATTCGGCGCCCTTAACCCCGCGTCGAATCATGAGAGGAGCATAGATGATATCTATTGGGCAAGGCAATGACGCTTCTGAGAACGCAAAACGTAAAAGCTAAAGAATACTTACTTTGTCAATCGTCTTCACAGAACGATTCAGAGAACTGAAAGGTAATAAGGGCGTACGGGATACTCCGATGTCTCCCGATCACACATGAGGATGTCATGCCGAGCAAAAGTGACAATGCCAATCTACGACGTGGAGCACCAGGGGGGATGATTGTGGGGCGCGCGACTCCAAGAGTTCGGTGATCACCAAGCCAATGATAATCAAATAACGCAGTATTCTGTCCCTTACTGTCCAAGGACTGGGCGGTAGTCGTACATTGGCTATTACGGTGACCGAGGACTGTCTCTTAGCTCATCGCCCAAGAATGCTGAGTTACAGGGAGTGCATCTGGTGAATACGTCTCAGATGACCCATGTTGCAAATTAGAAGCTACTAGAATATCTGAGGCCAATCGATCCAGTGAGCGTACGTCCGATACAATGCACATAAGTTACTCCATGCAACGTTGCAGATCGGCGGAAGCTGATCTAAAAGATGAAACCGTCTGAATCGGGTATCAGAAACCACTATCAAAGTGTTTCAGGAGGCAGGCCTAAGAGGACATACGAGATTGATAGAGACTTATTCTTGCTGCACCGTGCAGTCGGAAGTGATTCGAATAGCCTATCGCGTAATAGACGGCAGCAGGCCATAAGTTACAGTACTAGTGCTAGTTGCCGTGTCCTCGTCCCTCTCTTAATTAAGTTTGCACGTGCAAATATTACCCAACAGTGGGTCCAAGTTAACTCCAGGGTCACCCAAGGCTGTCCAGGGCCGTCCCTTGCAACAGCCTGAAGCCTGAGGCCTGAAGTTTGAGATTTTTGAGGGCCCATCAGCGATGCTCACACACCAATATCAGTTGCCCAACAAACCCAATATCCATAAAATTATGATGACTAGACCCCGTAGCAGAGTAAAGAACCTCCCAGGCTAAGTATAAGCTCGCCACCCGTATTAAAATTCCAATCTTCACCTGAAGCGCTGGGCCGGTGGGACAAAACAAAAGCAACAAAAAAAAAACCATGGGGAATGAAAGAGATGCCCTGGTATGAATATAGGTATGCGATGTGTCTATATGCGATGCAATAACGTGATGAGGATGGACGATGAGAAGGTGTGCCGCTTTATGGTGGTAATGCAAGATCTACGATAGTTCCCAGCAGAGGAAAATATAAAAGGAAAGTCTAGGCTGGCCATTCAGGCCGAGAATTTTGGTTTCTGATTGTTTCCAAAATGAGACGAATGGAGTGGGACTAGTTGGAGACGGGTACTTACAGATTTCCGCATCATCAAGGGCGAAGATGAATTGGGCGAATTTGCATTTTGATGAGGCTAGAATGTCCAAAAGAAAATGGCGGCGGTCAGCACAGATCCTCTGAAATGATTAGTCTAATATCACGTACCGGGTTCATGTAAGTAGGGACGGGTGGAGGATTCTGCGAGTGTGATGCAGCAGTCTTGGACAGGACGTTTTTCAGCTATAAGAGAGGAAAAACGCGTTCAATGTCGAGTGGCGGGTGGCGAGAAGCGAAGAAAGTACCTTGGCTTCGCTTTCAGCTGCCCGCTGCGCATACATGTTTGGATGTAGTGACACGCTGTCCATGCTTTTGGCTTGAGGTAATGAAGAGAGACCGCATGACAAGCTTGGGAGAGCGACAAGCTTGTCGGCACGAACGCCTTGGGAGTTGGACTGTTGAAGTGTTGTCATTGTGAAAGACAAAGCAAGCCGGTACAAGTCTAAGTGAAGTTTCTAAAGGAGATGAAGAGTATAGGACAAAAGGCGAAGCCTTGGAAGAGTCTGAAAGCCCTTGAAATCTGGAGGATGAGGAGAAATATATAATGTTTGAGGTTGAACTTATATAAAGTAACGCGTTAAGAGCCGGATTCATTTCCCGCGGGATGCCGCAGTCACACATTGAATTTAGTCACATCAGGGAAGGTCATCGAGGTTACTCTCATAAATTGTTCTCATAGGGATGTGCAGGTACTAGATCTGCTTACGGTGTAGACGACCCTCATTTTCGGTCCTATTTCGTGCGCGGACATGGAAGCAACGCGACTGGTACATAAACATCCGTTTACGAACGATAAGCTAACTCTCACCATAAGATTTACTACCATTTTAGTTGCGCTTCGAATGCCTGCAGGCGCATCTTACCCATGTCTCCCGTCAAAAGCTTCGCGTAAATTTTGGGGGTCCTTTCCCAGTTATCTATGTCAGTCAATGGCTATAGCCTGCACTTACAACTATTCACCGTAATGATATCTCTGACTCGTCTTAATTCAGTTGTCCGTGCGCGGTCTCCTAGGAAATGGCCAAATCACTTTCATGTTCTTTTTTCCGTTCCTCATGTCTTTCATTTTCTCAGTGCCACGAATTTCAATCAGGAGATCTGAGCTCAACAGTGGTCCACAAAGTATTAAACCGAAGTCCATCGTCTTCCCAACACTCATTGATGTGAGTGCAAGAATAACTTTGTAATGTGAAAAAGCCACGAGTCGTTGCATCTTACTTATCGTACAAAGTTTCGCCACTATGCGGCTGGGGCGAACCACACTATTCGCTGTCCCACATTTGCATATGGCCCAATCGGCCAAGTCCGTCTTCATTTTCTTCTTCTGGCTTTGTACAGCGCTCCGTGATTTCCCACCGCGGTGTGCCCTCATTATCACAACAATGCAACGGAGCCGGCCGTCCGGCACAACTTAGACAGTACGACATCTCATCAATGGCGTCATCATAGGGTCAGGTGGAAGCATTATTGTCCTCGATCGTTCCTCTATACTTAATGAACAAGAGGCTAGCCTACCCGACCTACTCACGATCTGGCGAAATTTGGGTCCCCTGATTGCCGCCTATCTGATATCAAAATCACATTGTCACTTGACTCTGTCAGCTGAAACGTCTATCAGACGTCTATCTGACAGTCTCTATCGTGAGTCTCACGATTCCGACGGTATTGCAGGTCCTGCGAGTCCAATGGAATATACGGATGTCCCCCAGGTGACAAGGTGCGAGATCAACGCGAAAGTTGCATCACGGCACCGAACGTGGGTGTGAGATCCCGTGTGCTCGACGTTTGCCCTGGTAAAGCAAAGGCTGATCCTTTTGCTCCACAGTCAAGACCACTTCTTTGTCACCTTCAAATATCTACATATCTCTTCAGGGATGTAAAACTCGTGTTCGACTTTACGGCAACCACCATCATCACATGCACGTGAATTGATTTCATCGATGTAACTGGACATCACAGATACCGTACTTCCCCCGAGTATGACGAAGCACGCCACGCCGCTCTCACAACGTACATCGTTCATAATGAACAACTTCTTTCCAGCAAATTAAGATCGCGATGTTCATTTCCCTGCCTCCTGAAAAGAACTCTCGCGGTGTGAGATACAAGATACAAAATCCTCGTATCTTAGACCGCGCATCACATGGAATGCTTCACGGAGTCGGAGCGTCGTATCCTGAGATTCGAGCGTTCACCTCTAACGCATGCACGCGTTATATCAGCTATCAGTAGGGCATCCTCTATATTCACTTCTCCTCGGAGTATTTTCACCCCATCACCACATTCCGTTGATGACGCTCATGAACGTAATACATAGTTACACATCAATTCAAGCCATTCCAATTTAGTCGACGGCCTGTACACCATCGTATGCTGGCAGGCGCTTACAGGCAGCCGGCCAGTCAATAGTGCCCTGCACCAGCTCCGTGAGAACTGTAATTACGTCGTCGATAGGGCCGATGAGCTGGTCTGTTGTATCGCGCTCACTACATGGAGAAGGTAAGTCAGTCAAACGTGTCACAACAGAGAAGCCGACCGTCGGCCGCGGACCGCCACAGACGTACCGGAGAGTCATCGTCCGGTTCTGGACAGCTGTTTGTGGTCGAATTAGAGTTTGCAGGGTCAGCGGAGCTCATGAAAAAATTGCTCACAGGCAAAGTCCAGTGTGACACCAAATGGTGTCCCCAATTCGTCGTTGCGGGCGTAGCGTTTGCCAATCGAGGTATTAGAATCATCTACACGAGAAAAGATACCAGCTTTCCGTAATTTGGTGGCTGGAGCCCGCAGTTAACATTGAGGGTGCTTGTACAAAAACAGATGTTTTGACGCACAAACTTCCTGGACGAGGGGACTGAATTCTTCCTTGGCACTTAAAGGGACGATGAGAACTTTCGTGGGAGCGACCACAGGCGGTAGTGACAGGACCTTCGGGCATCCTGAAGTAAGCCCCGGGCCACCTAATTAAATAATTGATCATTATACTCACCCCACGTTCTATATCCTGCTCCCTGCACCAGAAACTATGTTCAAGCAAAGTATAAAGAATGCGACCGAAGCCAAATGAAGGCTCGATGACATTTGGTGTGAATTCGCGAACTGCAAGAAATAGTAAAAGGTTAAATCGGGCGAACCCATGGCACAAAAGGCAAGCGCACTCGATTGCTTAAACGTCTTGCGTTCGATCGCTAACAGATCAGGGGTGATGGTGAACTCCTTCCCTTCGGCCGAAATTGTTGCTTGGCTGTACAAAGAGCCCAATTCAATCTATGAAGGTGAGGGATAGAAGTTGATACGGACCCTTGGGCAAGTTGACCCTTCAGCTTGGTAAGCTGGGATTCATCCATTTCACCGATGACCTTTTGCAGGAGGCCAGCATCGCGCCCGTAAGTCTTGCCAACGACCTTTTTGTTAAATTCTGGTACATCCCTTTCGGTCACTATCGGCTCCTTTAGCGCTTGTCTGACGACAAGCGGTTGGCCAGTCCTTGCCGAGTGCACTGACAGGTCATACGCAGCCCGATCCGCACAACCAACGCACTCGGTCCACCCTGTCGCGTTCTCTATCTCTGCATCCCAACAATCTGCAGCATAGTGTGCCATCTCGTTCCCCATGTGCTGGCGGAACCGCAGGCGTTTCGGGTTGATACCAATCTTAATAAGGAAAAGATGGATGCGGACAAGGAAGTAGCCAAGTGTCTCGTTTGCTACAATGCCCTTGTCTACAGCTTCGCCGATAGTCATCTGGGTCACTTGAGTACTACCACTGACTTGCACATGTCGATCGAGGAGGCTCAGCACGGTATCGCGCACTTCGCGGAATTTTTCGTGGCTCTTATCCTCGGGATCAACAAAGTGTTCGATTTCACCCATGGTGAACTCTCGAACCCGAAGCAAGCCAGCGCGGGGAGAGATTTCGTTTCTGAAGGAACGACCAATTTGAGCGGATGCGAACGGAACACGACCGTTATTGAATTCGAGAAGGCGAGAGAAGTTGAGGAAGTGGCCTTGAGCGGTTTCTGGCCGGAGGTAACTTGGACAACGTGTTTCAAGATCCCTGATACACGGATGGAGAGTGGACTTACCCAGGATGTTGGCCTGTGGGACCGATACTGCTAGCAAACATCAGATTGAACTGCTGAGGTTCGCCAACCTCGTTGCCAGTATCAGGGTTACGAATATCATATCTTCGGCAGAGCTCGCCGATTTCAGGGCCAGAATAGTTATCTAGCTGTTCCAGAGTTATGAAGAAGCATCGCACAAGAGATTAATGACGCACTTGGGCAAGGATACTCTCAAACTCTTTCACAAGCTCATCTGCAAGCTGAACTACAACAGTTTTCGCATTTTTCTTCCTCTTTTTGTCCTTCTCATCTTTGGGTCGGGCAGCCAATCCACGAGCTTCCCGATCGCCAGCAAGACGCGCTTCTAGGACGTTTTTGACGAGGTGATCTGCACGGAGGACATCACCGGTCTTGGTGTCCTTGACCATCCAGTCTGCAAACCTAGCGACGTGGCCAGATGTCTCAAAGACGGGAGCAGGAGTCATGATAGTGGTGTCGAGTTCTAGCATATGATCCTCAATGATAAAATGCTTTCTCCATTCCGCCATGATATTGGCTTGTAATGACGAGCCTGGTGGACCATAGTCATAGAGGCCAGCAACACCTGTGAATGCAGGTTGTCAATATCACTGTTGTAGATCACAATAATGACGTGTCGCATACCGCCATAGATTTCAAAAGCTGGTGCATAGAAAAATCTGCGATTCAGCAGAGCATCCAGACGGGATTTGTCGAATGGATGGACTGATCTATTGACGACCGACATATCAGAATGACTGTAGCGCCTCGTTGATACGAACAGATGAAGGTTTCGAGGAGTTCGAGGATATGTGCAGATTGTAGTGGAGAAACCAATTGATCTGACTCGCATGCCGCTGCAGGTCACGTTGATCGCCGAGTCAGATAATCTCCTGCCAGATCAGTCTCGAATTCTTCTCCGCCAATCACCTGTGTCCTAGCTGTCACTGGTCCAATGATATTTAACGCCTTAAGTTGGAAATGTTATGTAACAGGCTGACTCGGAGCGCTGCGTCAAAGCCTTGAGGTCGCCAAATCTTCTCTTTGTTGATGCGGAATGGTCATCTTGTTCGACTAAAAAATGTTCGCTAACAGGTAAGATTATGCATGCGCTGGACACTGGCTTGCTGATTATAATTATAAGGTCCTAGTACTACCTCAAAAAGGTCTTGGTTGCAGGCAGAAATATTTTCCCACCTGCGCCTAATAGCTCTCCCATGTACATTTTGTACTTGTGCATAAAATCTCATCGAGTTCCCAACGTAAGTATTTTTTACATGTCAGGTCCACAGAGATAGCATCTACCAACCTCTGCTGGTGAGAAAGTTATATATCGTTTTTATGTCACAATTACCTGCAGAACATGTCCAAATTTTCGTCGCTAAAAGCAAATATTATAATAAAAGTGATTCAAAGGCCCCGTAATCACCGTAATCCACCTTGAGGCCTCAGCAGCGCTCCTAATCTTCGCATGTTCATGTTCCTAACCCTTAGCAGACTTAATCCTTGACCTTTTTCAGCCCTTTCCATAGAGTGTATCCAGTGCTATGTAGTATGTTTGTGAATATAATGCACCTCTCACTCGAAAATTGATTATATATTGCTAGCATTTCTACATAGAAAGGTTTAGGGTTAGGCCTAATATGGGCCATGCGCGCCGTAAGGGTTAGGTAATACAAGTCCCGTTTGGTGACGCTTAGCGCGTGTTTGGCTTGCAAACGACAACGACATTTTTAGAATTGAGCATCCCTCTTTTTTTTGTTCCACTGCGGGAGTACCGACAGGTTCTCATGTCCTTCAATTACCAGGGCGCCCCGATTCACAATCCAAGTTCTCCGGACGCACTAGGACTGTCTGCCTGGTCTTTGTTTGGGAATGCGTTGTTGGCCACGGCACTCTTCAGATGCTGGCACATCTTAATCTTCTTTGGTGCTTGGTCGACTGCTATCTGTGTGGTCAACTATAACGGTCATCACGTATCATTGCAGCCAACTCTTATCACCGTGTATGTCTCACCCCTCTTACTCGGAGATGCCAGTGTCATTTACAGCTCCTGTCTAGATTTGGTACTGTCCTTGGTTTTGTCATTTCCTATAGGACTACTTCCAGTTTCGAACGTTACAATGAGGGACGAAGGCTTTGGTCACAGATTGTGCTTGGAAGCCGTACCTTCGCTCGCACCGTGTGGCTCCACGTACCAGGTACACATTGGCCTCGTGGCTATCTTCGATGGTGGTTGATCTCCCGCTTATAGACAACGCGTATCCGAGTGCTCAGGCACTCACAGACCAGCAGAAGGAGGAATACAAAGCGAAGACTCTGATCGAGAAGAAATCCGTCGTAAACCTGCTCGAAGCATTTGCCGTCGCCGTTAAGCATTATTTGCGTGGCGAAGACGGCATCTACTATGAGGATCTGTATTACTTGGTTAAATTCCTTCCTAAGTATCCGTTTCCGCCGACAATCCCTTCCGTCGATCTCGATCGGACAAGTATCACAAGTGATGGTGTTCCTGCATCACCACGCTCGGGGCACTTCCATGGATCACTCACGAGGAGAACGCCGGCTCCGGGTCAACTTCCGCTCCCGAATACCGCTCCTACACCTTCGCTCCGGGTTGCGACGGAAAAGACGCTTCACACCGACGGGCGTCCCCAAAGGGGTGTAAAATTTTCTACGGCCCCCGTTGACCTATTCCCTGCTATGAATCCTCCCAAGTACTCGCTGCTAGATTTATTCCCATTCTCGTTACTAGTCTGGATGCTGACTAAGGATGGGCTGCGTAAGAACGGGGCTGCTGTGAAAGGAAAAAGGGCGGCGAAACGGAGAGCTACGATGCGCAGTCAATATTATAACATTCCTCTAGAAATTTCATTGTATTTGGTTGGTGTTTTCCATAACGTTCTGTATTTCAAGATCTGAATCTGGTACCTTAGGGTTCTTACGTCTCTGCCCTGCAATCTCGCAAGGTTGTCGATGCACCAACTACCAGTCCGTTCACCGCTGTCCCCAAATGTACAGACTTCTTATTATTGAACCCGCAGCTGTTTTACTCGCTACAATTACCCAGCTTGTAGATGCTCTAACTGGTCTTGAAAGGATCCTCACTACCCCAATACCATTTTCGTAAGCCCTGACATCATGGCTCTCGCGGGGAACTCATTTTAGCATAGATATTCCATTCATTTGTGGCTAGTAACTGTTGTATATTGTTTGGCTTTGGTGCGGAGGATCTGTCCTCTCCCATGCAGCAGTCATTGACGACCTCCACAATTATAGCCATTCCAGGTCTGGTCAACGTTGAAATGGGTCACGATCCCTGCCACTGTTGTCGCGGTAAGTCCTGATTGGATCATTGCCATCGCATCACACGCCTGTCCGGAGTCGCATCTCCCTATCGTTCAACGCTTATCTTATAAAATAGAGTTTTATCTTCTTTGGCTTCCTCGTTGCCGGTGAGGAGATCGAAAGTGCGTGATGTAATTTCATTACTTTGCATCCATCATCCGACACAACGTACCTTCCCAGATCCCTTTGGTAAGTTCTGTTCCATGATAACGGGGCCCGTGTCCGGCATACTCAATATCGATGCGCCTAATCCACCCAGGATATGACAAAAATGATCTGGTACGCGCTGTCCGGTCAATCGCTGCCTCGGACATGCTCAGGTAATTTGATATTGATAAACTTTAATTTCAGAACATGGATCACTTCGTGCACAACATAATACGTAAGAACGCTTGCGCTCGCGCAGGACCGCCACTGACATCCCCATGCAGGCAGGGAACTTCACGCTATCATGGCGATGCCTCCACCTGACCCTAGTGTTTGGGCGTTCTCCGAGGAGAACGACCTCCTTTTCGCGAGCTTGGATACAGAGGAACGCGTGTCACCCTCGGAGTGGGTGCAACGGGGTATATCAAAGATGCAAAATGCGCTTAGAGTGCAGTGATTTGGGCCTCTCATGGCTTGTGAAAAGGGGTGCGTATGGGCACGTCCTAGGCTTCCATACATGCGGCTCATGCATTGCTTGCTTTTGTGCCTCGCCTATGTGCCTTTCTCTTTGCTGTGTTTAATGTCGTCGAATCGTTCATAGATTTTCATTGGACATTAATATTCCAACACAAATGATTTATTTCAAGACTTGCCGCATGTGTTGTTCCTGCTGCTCCGCATCTGCTGTTGTGCTTGATGCTATTCGCTCTTTGTTCGTCCGATCTAGCACCACTGCCATCATGCTGGATGACTTAGATTGAGGGTTTTGTGCTGTACCGTGCGAATGAGAAGTTTTGCAAAGCTTTGAAGTGCTGTAACATGGCTCAAGCTGCCCGTATCTCACAATTGCTATCTAGCTTGATAGAAGCTCCTTGCGGTGACGAACAAGGATAGCTTTTTTAGTACTAGTAGCAATGAGCGCTCCGTCAATGCAGTGTCTTGGTGCTGTTATAATGCAATTGATAGGCGATTCCTCCATTTCAATTGTTCTATACTTCTGGAGCTCTTTCAGAACAGGGGTATCTAACTCGCCGCCTCCGATCACATCGCCTATCTTCGAGATAGCTGTATATCGAGTTCAACTGCAAGTCGCAAGATAACGTTTGTCCAAGTCAGGACAAGGTTTGTGAATTGCATATTGGAAGTGGGGAGAAGAGTGAATTTGCGGTATTACATGCAACAATGATTCAGAAATCTGATGTATGTATATGGGTGTTTCGAAGTTATTAATTCAGGGCTTTGTGAAGGAGGTTGCCGCGTTGAACTCGGTGTAAGTAGAACTCTAGATATGCCCAGACCATCAATTAGGCCATTGCTGACCATGGAACTGACAGCAGCATGACGCAGTGGAAGCGTGCAGGGCTCATAACCCTGAGGTCACTGGATCGAAACCAGTTGCTGCTAAAGATATATTTGTGTTTTTGTTATGTTTTAGTTGGGCGTTGTTGTGGTTTGTTAGCATTCAAAGCTGCCGACAAACAAGGCACAACCACATGATTCCCATTGTAGTTCAGAAAACTTTGTTCAGCACATGGTTTCATCGTCTGTCGTGCATATCGTTTCCCGTATACTAGATTTAGATAGCCTGGAGTCGGGTTGGGCTTTGGATCATGTGTCATACAAGCCTATTAGGTCCTTATGCAATAAAGTTCCGCGGTCGCTATTTTGGTGCGGGTCGGAAGGAATGCCGATTCGAGCCAGATATGGATGGCTACTACTTGTTGGCAGATCAACCCCAGGATAGCTTATATAGACTTGTAACCCTGCAGAGAGGGATGACCGATTAAGGTACTTCAGCACTTTGTAAGGACTGTCGGCGTCGTAGGCTTTGTTGCGCAGTAGTGAGCGCCCAGTCACTGGACCCTTTGGGAACAAATTTTTGGCGGACGTTGAAATTTCGTGGCACATATGCGAGACTATTGCGCCAATCTGTGAACATCGTGTTCCCTTGTCTCTGTTCTGTCATGAGCTTGTATTAGTCCTTGTAAATTCTACCATGTCTTGTACCTCGGATTCCAGCTCTCCATCACCAGCAAGTTCCCCAAATTCCGTGAGTCAATCATCATTCCACGTTATGCTGTTTCCACGAGGCAAAACTGACTCGAATGCTACCAGAATGATCGCTCAAACCTGAGTCTACTTTCCCTCTCTGTTGCTGCTGCAAGTGCTTCGCCAATATCCGTTCCAAAGTCTGTGGACATAGTTGTCCAACCATTGCATGGTACGATGATGTGGGATGTTGCGGTGCAAAGTACTTACCAATCTTTGTCACGGTAGTATCTGGGACCAACTTTGGTCCCAAGCACCGCCGCCTGTCGTCAACTGGCAAGACCAGAAGGAGACTGAGCGATGCGCGAGATGCAGCTACTCGACCTTTGTAAGTTCTGCATTTAGCTTCCCCATATCCTATAATTCTTCTCCCCCACCTTATGTGCTGTCGCTCCTTTAATCCGAATTTCATCACAAATTTGGCATCTAGACCAGCGTCCCTGCAGAGCACGGCTTTATCCTCACTTGCCACCCTGTCTCTTTCCTCTTCGCCTCCGAGCAGTAATATCCATCACGGCACTTCCCTGAACGCGGTATCCCGAAGTGTCCTTGAAGCACAAGTACCTGATCACATCACTGTGGTGCAAGGGTCTGATGCTGCACTACTCGGCGGGAACTTTGACGACAATGAATTGTCGGCATCGCTTCCTACTCATAGCAGTCTGGGTACGAACGGTGGTATCGCGAAGAACGGAAAGAAGCGTGGCACAATATTTACGTGCGAGAGCTGCTCGAAGGTAGCTTTTTCGTGCCTTGAACTGTTCAAGTAGAAATTGACCACGAGCCTCAGGTCTACCGGCATCCTTCTTGTCTCATTAAACATCGGTGGGAACATACACCCCAGTGGCGCGAAGCCTCCAAGTTTGTACTTAGCAAACATCAGCAAGTCCAATTGTTGGAGGTCATTACCCCTGGCTTGACAGCTGACAAAGGTGCTAATAAAAATTTCCTAGGCTGCCGCCATATTGTCGCATCTTTCACCCTCGTCTACAACCGGGACATCACTTCCCGAAGATCGCTCCCTTTGGCCTACCTTTCTCTCTGGCGGCATAGTCCCGCCTCCCGCTCCCGGGAGCGCACACGAAGGATCTAACAATTCGTCTCCTTCGAAACCAATATCCAGCTCTGTTCCGGCAACCTCCGCCCTCAGCAGCTCGGGCCGCGCAGGCTCAACCGGACCACGTCTACACGACTACTCCATTCCCCAAGCCACCGGCCCAGGTGGCATCACACAACTGCGTCCAGGCCTCCTGGGCGTACCTACCACCCCGAACTCGCGTGCGCCAAGCTCCCCAGTGCCAGTCCCTGCCGCTCCTACAGATGCCGACGCAAGGAACCTGCTGGCTCTTGGCTCTGTTAGCGTGCACTCAGAGTCTTGGGGCTCGCCGACCTCATCCTCGTTTTACGGCGTTTCGTCATTCCCGTCCGCCTCTGCATCCCTTTCACGTTCGGGATGGTCCCACCCGCGCTCGTCTGTGCGTTCGATGTCTGCTTCTTCTCATTCAAGCGACGACGGCGAGCTTGCCGAAGTTGATGATATCGCATCTGCGAATATGCACATCCACGGGCGGGTGAGCGGCACACGGTTCAGGTGGAAATCGGAGGAAGAGGATGCTGTATTATCATTCAGCGTGCCTGAAGAGGTTGAGGAGGAGGGTATTGACCCGGGCATGGTGAAGAAGAAGTCTCAAGAACAATGGGATGGTATGGAAATGGACATGGAGATGGATTGATTCCCTCCTGGTATAGGCTCGCAAGAAGCAAGCCCTCGATCGACCGCGCGCATCAAACAAACACGCAAACGAAGTATTTTATTTTCTCAGCCTGGTTTCTCACAACGACAACAGATGTCCACTCATCGTGTACTTATTGAACACACCGCATACCTCACGCTCACCTTTCTGGCATTGGGCTGTTTCATCTTTCCTGTTGCCTGTTGTGTTGTTGTCATCGTCGCTGTCTCATACTTCTGAAATTGCGCCACTCGATCTTTTCGTTTTCGTTTTGTGACATATTAGTGAGGCATCTCTCCGGACTTTTTATTTCTTTGGTGTATGTATAGTTATTGAATGTAACACAATGTGGAATGAAATGTGGAATATTATTATCCTTGTACACGCATGATCCTGTAGGATCCTTTCGTCCTCGGGGAGAAGCCCAAGTAAGCGAAGGATTTTCATGTACACTGGCGATTCCGTGGAATCCATTTGGTCGCATCTCGTCTCGCCACTGAGGATGCGAACTTTGCTCGCATAAACAGCATGAGTGCCTTTGAGCTGGAGCGGTGACTTGACCTGTATGTATTATATCATACTGTATCCGCCTATTGTTATGTTAATGATGCACGGGTGATCAGGAGCAAAACGACAAGGCCGCGATCGGGTGCTGAAGAGAGGACATTCCCCATCCAAAAGGACAAAGTGCGATCATCATCAGAGACGTGTGAAGGATAAATCCTCCTGATCGCAAGGGAGGGATCACCTGGCGCGACCCACGCGACAAACTCCGGACTGAATTACATCAAAAAACGCAAGCAATAAGCCAAGTCCATTCCAGAACAATAGATACCACAATCAGGCGTACATAAACCGATAGGTTATAACTGTAAATAGACCATTTTCGTCCCGGATCTGATAGTCTGGGGAATCCATCATTTCTGCTTTCCAGAAGCAGTCTTGGTCGCAACGCGCTCTGCAACATGGAGCGAGGCAATGAGATCCTTCCCTAGTCTCACGACAATCAAACTAGGGACAACGATCCATAATCTGCACCGAAAAGACCCGTTATGACCTGTCAAACTAATAAAAAACGAACACACGTACCCGTTGGGTATGATCCAGTATATGATTAGATCGGACACGGTGTTGTGTCCGATGGCACAGAAGCCGCAATAGTACTCCTGTGCCCAGTATAAAACTGTTTTAGACAACGTCATGCTCGCTGTTACAAACCCGATGAGGGGGGCAGGGGACCAGCCCGAGACATATGCCAAGTACACGTATGTGAGACTCATGAATGTCTCGACGATATTGAGGAAAGCTAAAGGAGGGAAGTTGGTGAGTCGGAGTAATTAAGCACCAATGGCACGCACATTGTGCGTTTGTGAACCCATTATTCTCCTCTAGAGCTTTAATACCATAAACCTGGTGAAGGCCGTCGATGACAGGACGTAATTTGTTAGGGAAGTGCACTCACATAATCAATATTCTGGTAAATTTCGTACGGTTTCCAGATCCAGTGGAGGTCTCCCCCAAGCATGGATCGTGGACTTGCATGGCCCGTTAACGTGAGAGCATGAGACAAAGGTAAGGATACGTACCGCATGAAACAGTATCCCGCGTCCCAGAGGACGACAGGCGCAGTGAGGACAAACCAAAAGGTGATCCAGGCATGCGTTTTTACCGCCATTTTTGCAGAATCTGGGTGTACGTGGTGGTATATGAGAAGGTCGAAACTTGCAAGCTGCGGCCATGTCACCCGTCGGTATGTACTGACCGTGCGAACTTTCTTTTGTAGATGTTTGTGTAAGAGGGAGCTTTCCGTCGGACTGTTGACGATGATTGCCATGCACATGGGCAGGCAAAGGCTTCACTCTGCGCGGTGCAGGTGAAGGTTCATAATCAACGTCAACGTCTGTCTCTGTCTGGTCCTCCGATCCATCTGATAGTCGTGTTCGTTTACGACGCGGGCGACGACGGTTGTCGTCGCTTACGTCTTCCCATCGAGAAGAATGTGCTGCAGAAAATACAGGCGTAATCATCAGGAATTTGCGGAATGGTGAGGAAAGCTGTAAGGGATGCTGGAATTTGAAGGAGTATGAAAGGGAAGATGAACTCTTGTCTTTTGGAGTTTCTCGGCAGCGCACCTTCGAAACGTGTTGGTGATCGCCATTCGGTTGCAGGCTGTTTTTGTCCATGAGGCGCTCATCGAGACAAGTGCAACTTTCATTCTCTGCGATCATCTCTGCGAGAATAGATTGTGTAAGTCCCTTTCTTTTGTCTATTGTTTACGACCTTCGATCCTTATATTACCCTGACCATGGTAGCAGTGGAGCGATTTCTTTGTGAAAGCCCAAGAAATCATCACACTACCGAACAAATATTAAGCACGTTGTTAGCGAGATAGGGGAGCGTCTGCCGCACACATCAGGTATCAGGGTTCATTTCAGTGCTTGCAGTCTTACTACGGGATCCCAGAATCATATCACTGCAGCTGCCAGCAGGCTTCCCGCCGAAAGTGTGTCGTTCTTTTGGAGGACTTTACAGCATTGTATTCTCGTGACCATTTGCATTCATGGAGCAGGTCGGATACATGCCTCTCAGATCTTAGCCTTGCCTCCAATTGACAATTGCCCATCCTCAAAGCTATCGCAATCCCGGCTCACAAGTTCGACCTTCATACCATCTTCTCATCTTCCCCATCGATGGTGTCAATGTATGGCTCATTCCATAATGCAATATACACTAATCTCTACCATTCCGATAAATTCATGTATACGGCCTGCGGCAGTATGTGTACCCAGGGCAACACACTGTCGTCGCGTCGCACATGGCTGGTCATGGCTTAGGCGTGGGGAGCAGCAGGCTGCCCTGTGTCCATGACAATATCTTCTGAGATCTCGCTTTTGATGTCTATATCCTATAGAAGTACTTATCACTTGGGCTGCTGCATATCTCATGATTTTTAACACTATGTCAGTCGACACAGTTCTATCCACCATTTTTGGCCCATCGTACATGTTCCGTGAATCTTTGTTCGGGCGGCGTGGCATTTTAAAACGCCAGTGCGAAGTCACAGGCGTCTTGTTTGCGTCCTGCAGTATGGATAAAACATCTCGAGAGTGAAGGTGCATGGATTTGGTGCATACTTGATACCTTGAAATATAGAATCATCTTATGTAAATCTACAGAGCGGAGCATCAGCCACATGCAGATTCTAGGTGTAGCATGAAAACTGTGGGATAAACACCCAGACAAACAATGAAATCTTGAAAAACGAGCGGTAGTCAAGCAAAGTCGTTGAAAACAGATCGAGATATAGGAACAATAAAAAGCACCTGCCAAGTTGATATCATGAGGCGACAGGCTGTGTGGAGGAAACAATGCGAAGGGGGCGATCAGGGATGCACCAGAGGGTAAGGCAAAAGTTGCCCAACAACCATAGTCATAGCAATCTTCTTGAGCAGGTCGTTATATTGCCGCCGGTGTCTGAGGGAGACGTGGCTGTGATATCAAGTGCGGCTACGCTGCAGAATCCAACTGAGCTGTGGTTGATGACTGACCAGTCTGAGCATCAGTAGTGCTCTCAGGGTGACGTGCAAGCCATCGCCTCTGTAGGTTCGGTCATGTATACAGAAGAACGAGGAACACCTAGTAGACTGCTCGCTTGTTTTTTTTTTTTCCGGCGGAAACTGTTACGGGCCTCGGTCCTGTGTGACGCCGAACAGACTGCGCTTGAGGTGTCGTTGCGTAATAAGCTCTCTTGCTATCTAGAAGCGCCGGTGAGCGATCAAGATGTTCCAGAAGCGGATAAATGGAAAGGGGACACCGGGGACGATAAGAGGAACCAGATGGTGCCAAAAATGATACGGATGATTATCATCAACACTGCCCTTGCATGACAAAACACGAGGTTTACCTCGAAAAAGTTATCGTGTGGGACTACCAACCAGTTCCTCTGTCTTCTTGTCCCAAATGCAGATTGTGTTCGAGTGGTCCGACGATGAATATGCAAGAGTAGACACACCATTCTGCTTCGACACCGCCTGCGCTTCTCCATTTTCTGCTCTTTGTGGGTCCGCTGGGAAACCGCGAGAGTGACCTTATTTGGCCGTAACCCATCCAAGCATCTTGCGTCATCTTTCAGTCCGTGTTCCATTTCATCACTTCTCCCGCATGCAATCGTCTTGCCGTCCGGAGAAAGCCTAGTGCATACCTTCCCCCCTTGATTTTACATGATTCCTGACAAGAGGTCACGTGTTGGAGTTCCACTTGCGCATCGTGTCGTCGTCGAAACCATTCACGATGTAGATGTTGTCGTGTAAGAAAACAAAGTCTTGCCACGTCCTTCGAATTGGTGCTTCGAAATCAGATTTTTGGGGTTGAGCTTCTCTGAGTCGGTTGTCTACGTTGCAAGGGGTTCAGATTCGTCGGAAGACACAATGGCAACTGGCTCCATGCCAAACATTGCAGGGTACCATTTGGATCCAGAACTTAAGACTCCACAATGATCGGGATCGCGAGGATTCAGGAGTCGTAGCTCGTTACTGTACTAAGGCTGTTGTCTGACACGGTTCATGATCAAATACGAGGGATGAAAGTTGACCAGAACTCACCGGTTTGTCTTCTGCCGCTAGACGGTAGCAAGCCCGCAACGAGAGCATGACTTGGATGAAATCCTCGAGGTAGCGTTAATCGGTCATTCAAGTCATATGTTCATATACTGGTAAGTACGATGCTCGGACAGCTCGGACTCAATTGTTACATGCAGAAACAGTGGGATGAACATTAAAGCTGAGCGCTGCTTGAAATGTGTGCTTTTCTATTATGTAAATATAATGGCATGACATTTGCAACATAAAAGTCTTTCAAGTTCGTTGTCTTACCCTTCGACATTTCTCAGCGCCTCTTCAACAATCACTTCCGGGAATTCATACTGTATCCAGTGCGAGGTATTCGGAACAATCACTGCTCTGACGTCCTTGAATTTCGCAACAGTCTCCAGCTTCGAAGCACCATTAGATCGCGGATCTGCGATCAAAATCGTCAATGCGGCAGCAGGAGGCCTGTCTGCGACCAAATGCGAGAACGACCATGGCACGTTGCCCTGTAGCAATTTAAACTATTAGTATCGTTGATTCAGCAGTGTTACTCGCAGTCACTGACATCCATATGATCATCGTAGTTGGTTGCTCTGGCGATATGGGTCCCCAACGATCTCCAAATGGCATCCTCTCTCGTCCATAGAGGATTCGATGCCATATAATCTTCTACTGCGGGGTTAGGCTTGACTCGGACATCGTTAGAAACCTTGGCCCTCCGAACCGCCATTTGGTCTGCAGTCAACTCCACAGATGAATCGACGAGAACTACTGAGGTAGGCCTGGTCTTGGGCAGGTACTTGAGAAGCGATAATACCACGGCCCCACCCATTGAGTGGCCGATGACTATGTCATACTCAGCAGCCTGAAGGTAGGGCAAGAGGTCGTCAGCCAATGTCTGGACTCGAAAGTCGACTCCAGGCATCCTGAGAGCATGTCCAGCAAGGTTAGGAGCAACGACTAAGTATCCTATGATATTATCATACATCGATAAGCGCTGTAAAATACTTAAACGCAGAAGATCCACCTTTGGCTGCAAGCATCGATGCAACACGGTGGAACGTGTGCGAAGACGAATTTAACCCATGTATAAGGAGTGCTCTCTTGCTTGCAATAGGGGATCCCCACTGACTTGCAGACGGGACTGTCGTCGATGCGTGGCCCATGGTGTTATGAATAACTATAAGGTACTCAGAAGTTCCCATGCTTCAAGCGTCAACTTGTGTTTAATAATCAACTGCAGTGTACAGGAATGGAATTTGAGCTTATGATGGACGCCACTCCAAGGTCATAAAACTATATGGTCGAAATCAAGGTGTACTACGGGACGCCTACATGAACAAATGCAATCTGCTGTTCAAGTGAAATCTTCTTCCACAATGACTTCACAGCATCGTGCAACGCTTAGGTATTACACCATCAGCCATGATATCAAAGCGAAAGCAAAAATATGACTTACTGTCGTGACGTGCCGCTCGGGGTGCACAATTTGCAACGGAGTGCTACTGGCAGGACAAAGTTCCACTCTAAGGCGCGCAGGTGAGTCATGTGGCTGAGTCCTGGTTGCACAACGACCTGCTCATACTCACGGAATTAGTTAAGCAAAGCAAGCTACCGCAGCAATCGTCATTTGGTGTATCTATATTGCAAGCATGATTTGCGGCCAAACATGCATTCACAAACATAGGTGCTGTCAAACTAACAACAACGGCGAGGAGGGAGAAACGCATTTTCTGTACGAGGTGATATATATGGAGTCTTTTGAGGGGGTGAACGAATGATATCTCTGAGGATGGGGGAACCCTGTAGGACGATGACCAGCTTTTATATGCTGCATATACTACGTGCAGGATTCTAATCGATTTGGCAGAATTGTTATTGCTGTTAGGCGGCACAAATTTCGGTAGAACTTGCTGCAGGAGAGTATTCAATCGATTACGACCATTGCACGGCCAGGTGACCTGCTGGCAAGCATCTACAGTTCTCTTCTTTGTAACCACAGAACGCTCGCTCTTATCCCCAATCTCTTATTCCAATCTCTCATTCATCGCTTCATCATTTGGACCTGCAATAACCCTGCCAGTGGCGCGACAAAGTTAAGAAGTTCCAGTTGATGTTCATTCTCGACGATACTTTCGATATGTACTTGGTCGATATCTCATGCCATTTTTCTCACTTACTCGTTGCTCCCTTATGTGTAGTATCTGCAATTCGCCTACTAATACCATCAGTAGGCTGGCGACCCTGCAACTGCCGCACAGTGAGGAAGTTGATACACATTCTTATTCTTGGCATGCACTTCGACGAATCGGATACCTGGAATAGTAGTTATATATGGTCACGACTCGCTCTACACCCACGACAATTCCATGGCATACCCGATGACCCTATACTTCCTCGGAGACAAGGAACAACGTTGACGAAAGTAGTGAGCACCAAGAAGTAAAGACAACAGAAAGAATGATGGTGAGTCTGCAGGTATGTCAACACAGCACGTAAGTTCTTCGAACCTCATTCAATATTTGACCGCTATTTGAACCAGTTTCACCGAGGGTTACAAAGACTTCCGTCATTTTCTGCCTATAATTCAACGTGGGAGGTTTTTCCTGATGACATAGTACTGACCCGAGAAGCTGCTTCTTAGCCCTGGCATTAGTATTGACTACAGGGAAGGGAAGCCTATCTATTGTGCGGGCTGGGGATCCTCACCGAGTATCCTTGGGTTTGTATTGATAATTAATACCCTCACCCCATCCAACACTCGTTTGGTGAGGAGAACCACTCAAACTCTCATCGAGTCCCACACTACCTTTGATGTTAATCACTGTGCAGTGCGCACTGCGGCACTGGGCAGTAATATTAATACTCTGTCCTTATCTTTGTTACCCCCTTTTTTCACTCTCATCATAACGCGCGCTCCCGCCGTATGACTTTGGACTTCGACTGCATACCAGAGAACATCATGTTTGTCACGAATCACGTTCGGCAACGAAGTGGTGTCTCGTTGGCACCATCACAGAGAGAGATCCACGCGCTAGTCTACAAGGCCAACGTTAGGCGAACAGATTCAAGATTGTCTGTGCAGTGCATTCCATCTTCGTACGGCCTCCCAATATTAATCATCAAGCAATCATCGCTCGTTCCGACAGTCTCTCATCATTTGAACCTGCATTGACCCTGCCAGCGCAGCTACAAAGTTGATAAGTCGGTGCTCATTCTCGTGACGTCGTCGATACTTCTGACATGTACTCGGTCGATATCTCATGCCGTTTTTCTCACTTACTCGCTGCACCCTTGTATGGTGTATTTTTGGTTAGACTCCTACTTGCCGCGAAGCCGCACAGATTCTCAATGTCCGACAATCAGTGCGTTTATTTTATTTTATTTTATTTTATATATACCAGACATTGTTGTTCGTAAGTGCATCTAGGTTTAATTGCCAAATTCAATCATGCCAGCACCACTTTGCAGCGGCGCGGGACCGCCATTACGATAAAATTAAGGTTGCAAGAGCTGGTAGCGAAAATGACATAAACATATGGATCTTCTTCCGCTGACGTGGGAGCCGGGGAATGGAATGGCACGATATTCCGGGAAGGTAAACGTTCTTACGGGCCATCGCCTTGCTCTTCGGCGATATTCCTTAGCGCCTCTTCAACGATCACTTCCGGGAATTCATAATGTATCCAGTGCGAGACATTCGGAACAATCACTGCTCTGACCTCCTTGAATTTTGCGACAGCCTCCAGCTTCGACGCACCATTAGCCTGAGATTGCGGATCTGCGATCAGAATCGTCAATGTGGCAGCAGCAGGCCTGTCTGCGAACAAATGCGAGAACGACCATGGCATGTTACCCTGTAGCAATCCAAAGTATCAGTATCGTTGATTCCGAGTCAGGAGTGTTACTCGCAAACACTGACATCCATGTGATCATCGTAGTTGGTTGCTCTACCGATCTGGATCCCCAACGATCTCCAAATGGCATCCTCTCTTGTCCATAGAGGATTCGATGCCATATAATCTTCTACTGTGGGGTTAGGTTTGATTCGTCCATCGTTAGGTACCTTGGCTCTCCGAACTACTGCCATCTGATCCGCACTTAACTCCACAGATGTATCGATGAGAACTACTGAGACAGGCCTGGTTCTCGGCAGATACTTGAGAAGCGATAATACTACGAGTCCGCCTATTGAGTGGCCGATGACTATGTCATACTCAGCAGCCTGAAGATAAGGCAAGAGGTCGTCAGCCAATGTCTGGACTCGAAAGTCGACTCCAGGCATCCTGAGAGCATGTCCAAGAAGATTGGGAGCAACGACCAAGTATCCTATGATATTATCATGCATTGATAAGCGCTGTAAAAATACTTAAGCGAAGAAGACCCGCCTTTGGCCGCAAGCATCGATGCAACACGGTGGAACGTGTGCGAGGACGAATTTCCACCATGTATAAGGAGTGCTCTCTTGCTTGCAATAGGGGATCCCCACTGACTTGCAGACGGAACAGTGGCCATGGTGTATGAATAACTCTAAGGTACTCAGAAGTTCCCATGCTTCAATGATGTTTAATAATCAGTGCACAGGAATAGAAATCGAGCTTATGATGGACGCCGCTCCGACAAGGCCATGAAACTACACGGTCGAAATGAAGGCATACCACGGATAAGAATACAAACTCTAGATTCCGCAACTGAAATCGGACGGTGAACGGACCGTCGCGCATTGCAAAGGAAGACTCGAACGTTTGTTTTCGATCCGGTGTTCCGTGGCAGGCAACTTGCAAGGTGAAACTACTGATTTCGACTACACACAAACACATTGGATGCCCCCTGGACTGTTGCGTTGCTGTTATAAATCGGATGAGACGGGTGCCACCTGTGTGGACTCACTTCTAGACTGTCGGTCCTTTATTGCCTGGAGATCTATGCCACGTGTCGAGCGGTATCCTTGTCTTTTGATATACTTGCCATGACCACTGATATTGCGTTCTGTTACAGTAATCACTGGCATTGCACTCCGCTTTTTCTCTTGCTGTCGTCCACGGGATCCCAGAGCCGAGGGTCCTAGGCTCGCTGCAGCCAACATAGCGCTTAAATGTTGAATTAGTGACTACCAGACAAAGTTAGCATGGAAGATAATTTAAAGAGAGTGGAAGTAAGTTTGGGTTAAAACAAAATAGCACATGGCTCATTGATGTCATCATGATACGCATAGGGGCACCGCGTATTTTTGTCGTGTCCTCGTGTGCTGCATCAATGTTCATTAATATCATCAATCAGTGCCTCAGGCTATGATAGATACTAGGCCAACGTCAGATGACATAGCTACCGGTTGCGGTCACTGGTTTTGTGGTGGCTCAGCGCCCGTGTTTGGCGCATGAAATCACCTGACAGGGGGCGCAGCTTTTCGTCAAAGTCTGACAGGCTAGCTGTACCTTGAACTGCGCCGCAGATCCTTGGTCCTACAATCTCGGAGTTCTGATGATCCATGAGCTTAATTTGCCTGTGACCGGAGGCAGCGCGTCATCCTAAGTGGTTGATTTTGAATATCGAAAGCTGATCGTTTCTCATGCAAATTTAAGTTGGGACAGAGGTGCCTTAGAATCAGCGGGAGTGATGAGAATCAAATTTGATCCAATATCTGGGAAGGTTACAAGCTATCTGTAGACCGCCGTTGTACAATCGCCAGGTTAATACGACTTCTCGTACAACCGTGGTACAAGAGCGTCCGTCCCTGTCGCCTACCACCTAAGAGTACACAGATTACTCCGTAGTAACCCACACCACAATTAGCCCGCCCTTTTTCTATGGATAACGCAAAATGTCCAGATCGATTAATAGTACTGCAAAACGAGACCAAGATTTTAAGATGAGTTTCTGTAAGACTAGATTCAAGGGAGAGACAACGATAGATGAGTGGGAGGCGAACGATACGAATCATATGATGAGCTAACTCACAAATTGAATACGGGAAAACAAAGGAGAGTGATGAATTGGGTAGATGTATACAAGGTCTTGCCCGTTCATCACTGTGGTATTGAGTGTTTACCAGTCTGGAGGAGTTTGTCGGGCAAGATGATGATGTTCCACCTCCCGTTTCCAGTCTGCAGTTGGCTGGGGAGCTCGCTTCCAGTCTGGAGGAGTAGGCTTTGGGTCGATGAGGTAAATGAACGCACATAGAAGACAAGGATCGCAGATCACATACCAATGGATTTCTTGCTACCAAACCAGTTTCCACCGGCTGTGCGGAGGACAGATTAGCACCGAATAATAAAATTCCCATACAACCAGATAGACTCACCATGGGTGTAGCCAACACGGTACAAGCAGAGGCGAGGACGAACAAGAGTGCTGAGAGCTTCATGAGAGCTTGAATAAAGTTCGGGGGCGGATATGATCAGTATTCTGTAAAAAGTGTTGGTTTATTTATGCAGCTTAAATGGGATTTCGGGCCCAGAGACAATGACTGAAAGTTCACATGCCATGAGTAGCTCCGTGCCTGACAAGTGTTATCAAACTTGGTCAATTATTCAATCCCGGGTCCCAGGATCACGCGCCGTGCCACCTAGCAAATTCATACGCGTGGCAGGCTGTGGCAGAAGTTCACAAGCTAAGTCTACGGTCTTGGTTGTTTAGAGGTAAACCGAACTTTGCCCCGAGCCCTTCGAATCAATTAGCTAATTCTACCGCGGCAGGAACAATCCCTGTATGTACTATGTACCTGGTTAACGATATCGCCTATTGCTTCCTTGCCCTTTCCCAATCCACCTTCGAAGCCCTTCCATGCTCACTCCACCTGTTTCCAACAGACTCAAATTTCACATATGAAGTTGCCTGGTTGCTTCTCTCGTTGCCTTTAACACCCGTGCCTTACAAGCCAAGCACTGGGTACTTCGAGGCGCTTTTTTCACGCCACCATCACGACGTGGGTTCCTCGTGGTGAGGCTGAAAGTCATGAGTTGGACGCAAACCGCCTAAAATTTCTTGCGCACGAACCGTGCTGCACAGCGGCTGCGTCAATACCTAAAGGCTAGATCTTCACTATGCCAATCTGCACAGCTGGCAGGACAAGCATGCACTGCCACTGCAATACGCGCGCGCGCACGCATACCCGAAATCACAGCTCTAGCTCTTCGTATTCCCCGTTGCTTCATTTCATGCTGTTCAAGTTGGCATAATCACCGCCGCCCTCTGCAGACCAGGTCCCACACCCCGGGATAGCCGGAGAGTCAAACCTGTGGCGTGATACAATTAAGCCTGCAGGAACCCAGGACCCAGGTACATACCACAATATTAAGTAGAACAACACTTCAAGGAACTGATATCTCGCTTAGAATTTAGATGGAGCATACACATGACCGGCTATTGTCACTGCTTACAACGTAGGGAGGAAACTCTGCATATATTGACACGTATGAAATGTACATATGTCTGCCGGTCTCACTCCACCAAATATTGACCTTGTGTGCCTTGCTTAATGCCTGACGGAGCCGGATCTCAGTGAATCGAGTCCCATATGCATTATTCCCAGGTTCGTGGATGGTCTATGCAGTGTTCGCGTCGTTTCTCCGGGCACCGGTGTATTTGGAAGTCCGAATAGCATCATGATTGGGTACACGTTCATGAGGCCATTACCTTCGTGCCTGTTCAATGTACAGCGCGTTACTTGACTACATACGTGGATATGGTGCTCATGCATATCTGCTCTTTCTCTCAGGTTCATGGCCGGCGTAGGATAAGAACCTGTTGTCGGTGATGATGATGATGCATGTCGTTATCCGGAAGATATATGAAGTCAGTTTGTTTCTTCAGTCATCCCCTTGATATGCATCACGTTATGAGAAAGAGTAACGCTCTCCTTACTCTTTTGGCTTTTTGATTCCATTCGTTTATATTCCATGCCGCCATCCCACGGGAAATCTATTTGTTTTATGTTTTTCTTTCCTTCCCTGACGTAATCAAATTGGCTTAGAGTTCTTGGTTTTCTGCCTTATGACGAGATGATGAAACAAGTTTGAGAACGCACTCTAACTATCTTGAGAATATGCTTCATGTGTGGAACCATTTCTACGTCACACTCTCAAAGACACCGGGACACGTGAAGCAGCGAACTTCACATAACTCACCGTCATCATGACCCCCACTCCAAAAGCCATCAACAGTCTCATTGTTTCCCTCGAATTCGGCTTAGCGTTGGCGTTGGCACCTCTCTCCGTAGCCTTTGTCTCGGCGGCAGCCCTAATCTGACCAATACTACGATGCGAAGCCTTTTTGTCGAATGTGTTGATAGGCAGGATGCTGCTGTCATGTGCGGATTGTAGGCCCGGGAGGCCGTCGAAACTCTCGAGATTCTCAGCAGTCCACCACGCTTTGATCCCACGCGGGTCTTTTACGGGGGCCTCGGATTCATATGGGGGAGGGGATTGGCGAGCTTCGCCATCACGGTCGAAAATTTCCATCGAGTCACACCAGCGCTCGAGGACGGTACGCTGGGTCTCATATTTGTAAAATGGGACGCCAAAACCGCATGACTAGAAGACAGGAAGTTTAGTTTAATTGGGCATTACGTGAAAGAAATACAAGAACAAACCGTTCCGACTTTGTGCACATCGATGACGATAATCGCGCGCGAGCCAGCTTTGCGGTCGGACAGGGGAATGAACTCGTTGTATTCTGGCGTGCCGAATTCGTATACGGTGCCTATGGTGGGTCAGTGAGACCGGACTTTGGGATTGAAAATGAGAAAGGAAGTAGGAATGGGTAGGATGCAGGATAGATGGAAAGAAATATGCTTGCCTTTTCCCCACAACCGGAGGATTCTAGGAGGTCCTTCGAACGCGTTGAAGAGAATCGTGATACGACCGTTTCCAGGGCTGGCGCATGTGCGAAATTGTCTCGACACCTGGAAACCATACAGATCAGAATACGAATCTTGGAGTAAATCCTTGCAGAATGTACGCCAACGCTGAACAACGAAGAAATCTCGCCAAGTAAGATAAGAAAGGTCACATACCACTGCCCGTAAGGTCCTCATACCAAACTCTGGTAGGACTCTCGACGTGGAAACAATTCGCAGTACCCTTGGGAGAGACATTGACATGCCCGTCTCCCTGCAGCGCAGCCGTAGCTACCCAAAACATCTGCTGCTTCAAGATCCATTCGATGAGCTTCAGCGGGATCTCGTCATAAAATTTTGCCATGATAATCGAGGACCAGGTAGGCAAAGAGTGCAGTAGCCGATGGTTGTGTTGGATAATAAACGGAGTGACGAGCGTGCAGGGAGCTTATAATATACCGGCATCTTCCCCAGGATTTGAACATGTGCCCCGGACTGTTCGGAAAACGCGCGCCGCGCTTACTGCAGCTTACATGAGATTCGAGAAGCGCCCATAATCATGATATCAATCATGATAAAAACTGCTCGATGGACGACGCAGATAGGTCGCTGCGTGATAAACCTGGCCTTTTTGTTGTTTCAGGGACTCGGAGTGCTCCAGCATCGTCCTGCTCAGCGCCAGCGACGTTGGAGAATTGAGGAGTCCAGAGGTATGGCAGGGTATGGCGCAGTTTGGCGACTCGGCTTCCGGCATTCTCCATCGCAACATGATGCCTCTTGCATAAACACGTCCACCACCTGAATCTGTAAAACTTGCAGAAACCTATCAACGCTAGCCAGGGTTGCGTAAAGTCGAAATACGAAGACAACCAGTGCACAATTCACATCCAAACTTGATCCGAATCACTGATACTACATACAGCCTCAGTGGCGCAAGGTTCTTACTCAGTGCGGGAAGAAGTTGGTGCAGATTGAGTATTCGACTTGTCAGTCGCTTGTTGTAGTTTCTGCGATCCTAGTATCTTTTACCATATAAGCGCTCGGTGAGTCGAACAGTCGTGATCGTGCTCGCTTTACTCTGTACTTCTACTTGTGCGTCGCTTCTCGTTTCATCAAATTTTAATCAATGTTCGCATTTACATAAGCTTGAATCCACTCACATTGGGGGTTTCAACATTTTACCTCTTGCAATATTTCAATCACAAGCAGATCTGGACCTGGATAGAGCGTTCCAGACCCAGTCTAGAGCGTTAACGTTCCAGAGCACCCTAGATTACCTTTAGAATGTAATTTCACTGGCGGCAAAAGTCGGTAAAATGTCAATTTCGCCGCTGTGTCAAGGTGGCGTTCTCAGGTATTTGTATGCAGCACTAACATGCTCTAAGTCAGGTCCTGGCGTGGGCATCCCCCCGCGCCACTGTCATATGTGCGAAGGAACAACTGCTGTCCTTCGATTTGGTCCCGCTGGGGAAAATTCAGCGGAACTCCAATCTAACTCGGGCAAGCAGAGCATGTCACGATAGAAGACAGGCAACCACCCCTCACACTCAACCGCGCTGCTTTTGTGAAGCGAGGATCATAGCAACTACGCACTGCGTTTCATGCACAGTACCGCGATTCATGATCAAAGGACATCTATCGTGGCTATATCTGTAATATTCTCACACGCGTTTTCTTCTGCTCATCAAGAACTGTACCTGAAATTCACTAGAACCTGATGGTATGGAGCACGCGGTAGGCATGAAGTTCTTACACATGTGTTCCGAATAAACTGAAGTTGTACGACAATTCCCAGGTTTTATGAATGGCCTGAGGAGTCACACCTGATCGGCAAGATAGATCAGGCTGGCCTCGCCGCATCCAATGATTTTTTGAAATGTGTTTTATATCGTGAAAGTTGAAACACCAAGGTCTAGAAGGGAGAACCAAACACAGTCGTGTTGTAGGCAAAGTTCCGAGAAAAAGGTGTGCCGTTTCCCACTAGTATTCATCATTGGAGCCAATGGATGAATTTAAGGCCAGCCGAAGAGAAACGGGGATCGGAGGCAGATTCGATACGTCTCCCTAATTGCAGTCGCCGTTAATTTGGCACCTTTTCGGATGCTCGTCGTGTCACCTCGGCAGGAACATGCAGCACGTTGGCATCTTGTCTTGGAAGCAAACCTGACATGGGCTTGGCAAAGGTGTCACGGACAAAGCCATATCTTCGGGTCTTCGCCGGCGATCTCTGATACTAAAAGGCTTTTCGATCAGGACCGAAACGGACCTACTTGAAATCCGCTGGGACCTAAGGGCATAGAGACGGAAGACACACATCCTCATCCAGAATTTGAAAACTGTGGTCGTCTGAAGATTCCCAGATGGTGTGGATTGCCTCAGGCACCTGATCAGCAAGATAGATCAACTTGTACTGGTACGCGGCACTAATCCCCCGTGTTTTCTGATGAGCATACCTCGTGTCATATTAGCAGGCAGATGGCACATCGACAGGTATCAAACAATCTGACGTAGAAGTTGCGTCTGGTGAGGCGTTACAGGCAGTGGGGGGCAACACGGATAAAGCTATGTCGCTGCATTCTCAGGACATTGCCAGCGCGCTCTATTATTGCAAGTTCTTTTTTGCTGCTCCACCCTTTTCTCACCTGGATAAGGTACGCAACACATCCGCCGTCCACGGCGATCTAACTAGGGTACAGTATCTGCGCTTCAGTTCCCTAAGGATGAATGTTGGGAAACAGTCTAACGTGTCGATTGATGCTGACGGTCGTGCACTGCCTTCGGTCCTTGGTCTATCATTTGCTGTTAATCCAAATGAATTCACTTACCTTATCATCCCTGCTAGGTGACGTGGTGCCCTACGATGCGTGGCTTTAGAACCCGTCGTGAAAGATGATTTTCACATTCTCCCATCATATGAAGTGGGACACGTTTGTTGGGAAACGACATGTGTTGGATTGGTGTGCATTCAACAACTAGCAGTGAACAAATTTTCATGCTAATGACTGTTTTTCTGGACGCCCACCGTGGTCGAAGATGAAGAACGACCATCCAAAATGCTCCATTTATATCGATATCGATGCCCATGTTTGACGACACTGGGGTTTTGTCAATCTTTGCACGAACTTGATCGCCGAGTGTGGTCCTTCTGCCAAATCCCATAGATGCTGTAACATAGATCGACGAGGCTATTTTGTTGTGCAAGTTCCCTTGCTTTGCAATGAACTACCTGTCGTTTTTCTGATTTTCGTTCTCTGTATCACAGAGAAGGCAAACATGAAACTACCCCATCAGGATACACTGTAGAATCGCAGAGAATGTACTCGAGCTACCTGACATGGTTCACCTTGTGAGAGCTACACATCACTTGTTTAAGGCAGTACAAGTTCAAAGAGTTAGCTGAAACTTCAGTCAACGATATTACCACTTTCCTTCCGCCTTGATGTAAACTCGTTCATGCAGCCTTTAAAACTTATAATTGATGCTAGATGACCGATTGCCTGTGAGTCTAACGACTACCAACACTCGAAAATTTTCAATTTGGTAGCCCATGAGCTAGCCAGACCTCAAGTTAGAAGGAAATTGTTCTTTCTAACGTGCTTTGCATCATCCCAGCAGGCGGGAATGAATCTCTTTCAGTGCTACGGCCTTTGAGATTTGAAATGTTGTCTTTCGTAAAGCTGGATCTCCTACCCAATTCTGTGCTGTCAGCGAGGCTTCCCATAGGGATTTGCGGCCTGTATGCATACTTTGCGAATGTCGACAAGGGTCCCAGACAAGTATGCATGATTGATGTTCTACCGTCCTTGAACTTATATTAATAAATATGATATTATGACCCTCGGAGTCAGAGAGGTCGATGATTTATATCAGGTCTCCACCGCCTTGTCGAGTGAACGAGTGAAAGATGGTGAAAAGTGGACTTTTGCTCTGATGAAACTGTGTGTCTTTTAGCTAATACGCATTTGATCTATGGCTGGCCGGTCTGGCCCATGGTGCTTTGTTTGCCCCAAACCAAACAGTACGCAGATACTTCATACTCATATCATGTACTCCTTCCATTCAATATCGCTTCTATTCATTTCTCAACCAGCAGTGTTCTACGTATTCTTCGATCAACAACAGCACTAATGCGAAGGCAGAAACACTCACTAGTGTGTCGCTACGTGCAAATCGGTTTGTTCTCAGGGTGGGAGGGTCTTGGTCGGGATTGCATGTATTTCCCTCGCAACCACCGGGATTGCATATATTTCCCGCGCAAACCTCGGTTTTATCGCAGCAGTCAGTATCCTTCTCGCAAAACTCGTCCCGCCCGCTACATGACGGTTGCTTTGCTGTGACAGACATTATAGACGCTGTCAACACAACAATAAAGGCAAGGGCGAAGAGACGCATTGTTTGTTTGAAGTGATATGATCTGCTGAGGTGCTCAAATGATTTATTTGAGGCAGGGTGGACGCTGGTGACAGTAAAAAGATAGATGGCTTGCTTTTATATTACCACAAAAGTGTTCGGCAAAATGGTTATGCCTCAGCGGACAATACTGCACGACAAGAATTAGGCAGAACCTATCCCATCCACTGGCAGGTGTTTCGTGGGTGTAGTCGTTTTGACACCCGTGACGCGGCTGTGACGAGACAAAATGCCACGTTGATGCATGAATCGTAGTGTTCCCAGTGATTCGAACCCACTTCCGGTCTCATAGTGTTACTCAGCCGGCCTACATTAAGTGATTCCTGGCTACACTGGCACCTCCTGTCTCCGTGTGGTTCAAAATTACGAGATGTAGGACCACAACGCTCTGTTACTCACCGTGACAAGACTGATAGCAGGCAGCCATACGTTCGGGACACCGTGCACTTCCAATTGTTTTTCTATCCAAGGGACGGTTTCAATGTATTATTGCTCTTCCAGATCTACATCCCCACACTCGGAGGAACGTGTCTATGCAGTGCGACTGATCAAACACACTGGCAGTTCCATAGGGCGCTACAGAAACATGTTGCGAGAAAAAGAATGAGAGAGCCAGTTAGATATCGATACTATTGCGGGGTCAGTGGCAGTCACCTAGTCATACTTCCAAGTTGCAGACCCATAGGACAAAACCATTGATACTGTACTCATCGTGTCATAACTCAGATATCAGCATTAATGTGGGGAATGCTCCTGACCTTCAAGAATGCCAACAGTGGTTTGGAATCTCACGCATGCGTTGGGCAGATGCAGTCCGATTGACCATCAACGTTGTCGTCAACGTGCTATTCGAAATAGAACAGAGAGTCTGCGAACAAGGTACGATTAAAGGCTATGAGCTAGGGGAATGTGGGACACGATAGGCGTTGGCCTCGATGCATCATGTGTTGGACG